AATAAAAAAAAAATTTCATTAGCCCTTCATCCCCCCATAACTAGTTATTTCGGTTTTCTATACGGCTTTAAATATAACCTCCCGCTCTATTTATTGGTCTGAGCAAGTACACTTTTTGAAATTAATTGCACAATTCATAAAAGGAAAATCTTTCTGCGAACTCGTGAAAACTTCCGTCAATTGGGAATTCTTGGGCATTGAATTCATGGTAATTTGTTTTAAAATTTTTATAGTTTTTACCTCTTTTTTTTTTCCTTTTAAACAATGAAATGATGAGTTTTTTTATTTAATCGTTTACTAAATTTTCCCATTACTTTGCTATTTTTGTAATGATATTTTCAATACACGCGGCGATCATTGGACCTTTGATTTTAACACTCTTTTTTTATTTACCTCCCCCTTTCTTAATACCAAAATCAATTCAAATTTCGTTCAAGTTAGTTTTTTCACCAAATTCATTAAAAATCCGATCACGCTCTGTAGATTTGAACCTACGACTCGGGGTTTTGGGGAAACCCCCTTCAACCAACTGAACTAAGAGCGCTTTTCTTTCCCAAAAAAAAGACGTAAAGGATTGCCCCAATACACTTTATCAAAACTAAATAGATCATAAAGAAAATTCTTATGAATGTCCAAATTAAGTCAAAAAAAACCCCGTTACTGCTCCTTTTACAAAAAGGGGGAACAGGATTTGAACCCTGACATTTTGTACCCAAAAAAAACGCGCTACCAACTGCACATCCCTTCCCTTGGGCCACATTCATTTTAAAAAATTCCGCTTGTTTTCCAAAAATCGTATCTCTCTATTAAAATCAAATTTTTATGTCCATTTCGTCTTTTTTGGTCTCATTTAACATAAATAATAGTAAAATACTTCATCTATAAAATATAACGGAACCCCTTTTAATCTTTTGGGAAATTGGGGAAAAAAACGATTTTCTTATTTAACAAAAATAAATCTATTACTGGATGATTGTACATTTTTAAAAGATTATCCTTTTATTACAAAAATGAAGGAGGTTTTTCAAACAATCTAAAAACATATCTTTCCGTGGGACCGGTACTAAATACTCTATTTGCTCTTTTGGGAGTTTATTTATAAAATTAATCGTTTTTTCCCGATCTTACGTTTCCCCTTTTTTTAATTCTAGTTATTGACCTGGGGAAAGGGAAAAAAGAAGATTAAGATACAAATTTAAAAAACCACCCCCCCTCTTTTCCTTTTTTTCCCTTTTTTTGAATAAGGGAGGAAAAGAAAAATAAAAGGCATTTAAAACCCGCGAACCGGGTTCATTGAATCAATTAAAATAAATTTCTATTATTAAATTTTCCATGAAGTCGAATACAAACTGTTTCTAGGAAGATATTTTCAAGATACTTATAGAAAGTACTTGATTTGAAATATTTAAAACTTTCTATCTTATTCTTTTTTGATTTTTTATGAAACCTTGCAAAGGAACAAGTTACAAATTATATTTTTTTTTCCTTCCTTTCCTCGTTCGGATTTAAAAGGAAGATTTTAAATGAAAAACCAAAGGAGTTTTGGCCAAGGGAAAGATGCGGGAAACCCTTATTTGGAATGTACCCTTTTTCGAACGTTAATAAGCATCAACGCTTTCCAAAATTACCAAAAAACCCACAAAACCCAATCGGGAGTTTCTAAAATTGTCCAATTGTTACAAAAAAAACGATTTTCCCGGGTAAAAAAAGTCGAAAAACCCACACCGCCGCCCTTATCTTACAAGGGAAAAAAAAATGAAAATTTAAATTAAACTTTTCATATTTTTAAAATAAATAAACAAACCAATCCTATTTTTATTTCAATTAAAATACCTGAAAAAGGTTTTGGGGGAAAAATAAAATAACCAAACCAGGGAAAACCAACGAACTTTTTTTAAATCCAAGCGTCTTTTCGTAGGGTTTGCCCCCGTCCAAACGGGATCGAATTGATTTTAAAAACATATTTTTTTTATCATTTTTTAATAACGGGGAAAAAAATTATCTAGACAGGAAAATTGACCTTAAAAAACAACGATTAATTACTGTTCTAAAAAAAGCTCGTATTTTACCCTTTTTTACCTTTTTTTAAAATGAAAACAATTAAGGGGGGTCACTAGAACTATTCTAACTTAAAAAAGAATTTTACTGGTAGTTGAATTCAATTTCCCCTTTGACTCAAATGGAAACAGTTGTGAAAAAAAATAGCGGGTTAAATTTGTGTTAGAATGAATATCAAGAAGAACAATTTTAACTTTTTTCAAATATTGAAGCGTGTTAATAGTCTTTACTATTGATCTTCAAGAGTTTATTAAGAAAAACCGTTAAAATGGATTCTGAACTTTTTTATGATTTCCTAACGGTAATTAAAAAATCATTATATAGTTTTGTTAAGGATAGATTAGTAGTACGTTTACAGGAGTTATATCAATTAGCGTTTTGATTAACCGGCACGAATTGCTGATTTATTCGAGTCTCCACAAAACGATTGAAAATGATTTTTTTTTACCTATCCGAGGAACATCTTGATTTTTAAAAATTCAAAACTTTTTGCCCCAAAGCTGGATCAAATAAATAAGATTTTTTTAATTCTGTTCATAAATCGTTAAAAGTCATTAATGTTGACTAAGAAAAATAATTTTCTTTCAAGTCATTATATTGGGTTTCCTAGTATATAAAAAAAAATATTTGTATATTAAAATTAATGGCTATTCACTAAATTCTCTCCAAAAATTTAGATATAATTTGGCAATTGTTACGAAAACGGAAATTGTTATATGGTTACGAAAAATAATACAAATAAAAATGAGGGTATTTCATTTAAGTTTAATAAACTTTGAGTTAATTACGGAGTTTTTTCATTTGAACAATGTTTCAATAAGAAAGGTCCATTTTGCTCTAACCCAGAAAATCAGTGATAGTATTCAAAGATTCAACAACAGTAAGCATTTAAGCGAGGTGGAGGGAGACGACTTAGTCTTCTGCAAATGGTATTAATTCGTAGGTGCCGCTAAATTAATGTTAAAGAGAATACTGTAGAAATAAATTTAGATTTACACCAACAGAAACCAAAAAATTTAATACACAATAAAAGGGATAATATCCATTTTCTTATTTTAAAAAGGAAATGTAAATTCGTTTTTCCGTTTTTATCCTTTTGGAATCAATTGATATTCGAACATTGTTCTCTTCTTTTCATTCAATTCTGAACGGTCGCACATTCCCCTGTACATGTTCCTCGACGCTGAGGCATCCCAAACGCGGGGGTTTTGTGACATTTCAATTGGCTGTCTTGATTTCTAATAATTTTTAAATTGGCATGTTTTAATCAATACATAATGGGCCCGGTTTAGATCGATCCTAACCGTGATTAATTCTTTTATTCAATAATAGTAAATAAAAGTCATAGGGGTATTAACTCGGGAGGAGTAATTTTCAAATCACGATTGACGCGAAAAACAGCTATTTCCATTCAACACTACAAGATCAAAAATCCATAGCTTGGGCCTCTGTTGTGACATAAAAACAAACTCTTTCATGTCTTCGGATACAACCCAAAGGGGTTTTTCCTTCTTTGTACATAAACCCTTGGGCAGGTTTCAACGTAGTTTCACAGTTCTCCCACTTCCAGGATAAATCTCCCGTTGCTACTTCAGAAAAACCACAGGTTATGGGTCAGTACCCGGGTAAAAAGATAATAAATTTCTCTATTTTGCATGATGAGGGAGATAAAGAAGATAAAGAATAACAAGAAAAAAAGATAGAATCGAACAACCGTACGGCATCTTTTATGCATTGCAACGCTCCACAATAAAATTTACCCTTACCTTCCATCAAAGAAAGAAAAAATTGGATCATCAGACCCCGATAGGTAAATGATCAACTTACCACCCTTCCTTTGGAGAATTCAAAAATACTATGATGGCTCCGTTGCTTTATATTTTATTATATTTTTTTGTCTGTATTCAGAATCCCAAAGTTGCTTTTTATTTGATCAAATAACTAAGAAAAAAGAATCTTGTTTTTTTTCACTCTAAAATATTGTTAAGACTTCTGGTGTGAAAAAAAATTTGTGACGCTGAACTGACTTCATAATAAAATCGGAAAACCTTTTTCGCATATTACCTCCGATACATAATCTATTTTTGAAACAAAATTTCTTTATCAATTCAAAATGCCATGCATTTTACTTAATTTTCAATTTCAATACGGGGAAGGCATAGTCTTCTTTTTTTTTTCTCAAATAAAAGCCTCTGGGGCCAAAAGGTGAGGAATGCTAGACTTTGGTAATTTTTCTCCCCGACCAATCAAAAATCCCATGGAAGCCTGCCCCATCAATTGTATTACATCGTTCCAAATTGCATAGTTTATAGCCAGCCCGTATTACCCATCCGGGCCCGAGAGTTTATAAAACAAATACGATCTTGGTATCACCCGGTACCGATATATCAAATAAACCAAAAATTGATTGAGACCCCGCCTCAAGATCTTGACCTTTTTAAAAAAAAAGTAACTTTCTCGTAAATCGGTTTTAATTAAAGGGCAAATTGGGACCCTTCGGGAAACCCTTAAAAGGCCCTTTTGACGCATCGGTTCAATAAAAAAGAATCAAAGTGTAGATTCCAAAACTTTTATTTTTTCCCGCAAGTTCCTTCTAATTATATAAAAGGATTTTTCTTCGATTTTTCACTAAACACGAGTTTGGCTACTTCCTTATAACGTATAATATAAAAAAAAATTCATTAAAATTATCCAATTAAGCTCTCATTGATGGTTTTTCATCGAGATTCAATCCAAACAGATGTCATTTCTTGTTCTTAAATGGCCTCTTTAATCTTTTTAGGTTATGCTCTACTCCGGGTAAGACCCGCCCGAGTTTGAATTTGCACTATAGTACAAAATGCCCAAAATTAAACCCCTTCTTTTTGTTAGGCCTCTTTTTTTTCAATGGCGCATTCCGTAAAATATTGAAGTATGCATATTACCGATTTATTAACATAACATTTGAAATACACTTCTTGTAAAAAGATTCGTAAAAAAAAAAATGATTTCTTTATAAAATGGAACCCTTATGATTAAAATAGATGATTACCTCTTGGTTTTTTAAACTGACCTGATACTTCAAAGATCATTTTAAGCCAACCAAATTCTCTATTGATTAGTAATCGAATCCCCCAAAAAAGGATATAATTGTTTCACGCTCCAAATTTTTGATGATTCAATAAATCTTTCGTGCGAAACAGAATATCCCATTGAAGAAAACTGGGAAATCCATATCCCGATATTCTTACAAGTCCACTATATTCACCAAGTGATCTTCTCTTCCAATATTTCAAAAGAACTTTTGGAACAAATACATTAATGAAAGAAAACAAGTGCTATATTAATTGAATGGAAACGTAAAAGCTTTATTATCCTATAATTTGATTGTACCTATATCATATGCATTAATAAATTTAAATGTTATAAAGAACGCAAAAAATAAGGGAAAATCTTAACAATATCTCAATGATGACAAGTATGGGATATCCTAAGGGGTCATTAAGA